TTTTTTTCTGTCTTTCTGAGACAGGGTCTCGCTATGCAGTTCAGGCTGGCCTTGAGCTCACTTTGTAGTCCAGGCTGGTCTCAAACCTGCAATGATCCTCTTGCCTCAGCCTCCCGAGTGCTGGGATTACAGGCATTCGCCACTACGCCCAGCCAAGCAGTGGGCTGTTTGTATCACTGAAAGCTCTAAGAGGTTTGCCATCACTGCAAGCCTAATCCTAGCTGAATATTTAAAAAGTATGACGCTGGGCATAGTGGTGCATGCCTATAATTCCAGCCCTGGAAGACTGAGCAGAAGGATTTCAAGTTCAAGCCCAAAGACTGGGGATACAGCTGAGTGTGAAGGCCCTAGGTTCAATCCCCTGTACCGCCACAGAAAACAAACAAAAACAACAATAAAACCTCCCTGTGGCTCTTCTCTCTGGAAAAATGGATATGCATACAACATCCTATGTATAATTCAAAGAATTCTGAAGCTCTACTAAGGACTCTAGGTGAAGAAGTTTATGTAAAAAGGAAAGGTGAATCCAGACTCCTGATCTACCAGGCCTAAGCTCTGCCCTGAAGTAATTTCTTTCCTGTTTTTTTTTTTTTTTTGAAAAAGACAGGGTCTCACTATGCAGTTCAGGCTGGTCTTGAGCTTACTTTGTCGCCCAGGCTGGCCTTGAACTCGCAATGATCCTCCTGCCTCAGCCTTCTGAGTGCTGGGATTACAGGTGTGTGCCACCATGCCTGGCTTGAAGTCATTTCTTTAGGGCCCCTCTTCCCTTCCCACCCTGCCCTGAGCCCCACACCTCACCTTCTTTGTCAGTCAGCACCTCCATGCGCCCGCTGAACATGGCCTTCAGCATGGTGTCGTGCCGCGTGAGCGCCCGCACGGTGGTGTAGTACAGGGAGCCACCCACGTTGAGCTGCACGTACTTGTTGCCCAGCCCTCCTCCCTTGAAGCTGCTTAGCTTGGGCTTGGCCCCCGAGGCCGGGCACAAACAGGTGTCCCCAGACATCTCCCGCTGCAGGTAGATCACCACACGACAGGACGTGGGCTTGGAAGGCTCCACTGTGGTGGAAGTGGTCACAAGTGAGGCCAGAGCGGAGGCCAGAGCCTCATACTCTCAACACTGGGAGCAAGAGGAAAAGCAGAAGTCAACGGAACAGACAGCTCAGACAACGGCACGACCACAGCAGGAACTCTGACCGCAGTATCCCCTCCCTGGGGAGCTCAAGCACGCCCGGCAGAGGCTAAGTCCTTCGGCACCAGTAAGGAAGACTGGGCGGCTGTTCCTCACTGTATCAGGAGCGTCCGCAGCAGGAGCACCATCTCCCAGAACCCTGTTCGGGTTACACCACCAGCTTGAGACTCAGCGCAGTTCTGGGTGGTGGAAAACACAGACAAATCCTCGAACCAGCCAGAGAGGGGCTGGGGCTACCAGTAAGACTCCAGATATTTTCTTCTCCAGGGGCCCAGGATCCCAAACCTCCAGCCCAGCCTACCGGGATCCAGCCTGCCTAGGAGTCTCCCAGGAGCCAGAGGGACAGGATGCACTTCCTTTCTCAAGACTCCAGATCCAGAAGCAGCCTGGAAGGGCTTAGTTTAGCAGCAGGGGAGGGAGTCTGGCTTCAGGAAGGAAGGAGAGTGCAGCTCCCGGAGGACGGAGTGGGCCAGCTTGTAGGCAGCTGGCCAGTGTGCCTGGCAGAGGTTACCTGCGCTCCCGCTGGCTTTCCTGCCCTTTCCCTTTTTTTGGCACCAGCCTTGCCCCCAAGTTTCTGAAATGTCACCAGTTTTCAAGGCAGAACAACGGCAGAATGGCTATTTCTGCTTCTTTTACCTTGGAGGGTGCTCAGTCCTATCTCTCCTCTTCACTCCCAATAGGAACGGGGAAGCGCACGCCTGTAATCCCAGCACTCAGGAGGCTGAGGCAGGAGGATCGTTGTGAGTTCGAGGCCAGCCTGGGCTACAAAGTGAGCTCAAGGCCAGCCTGAACTGCACAGCGAGACCCTGTCTCAAAAAGACCAAAAAAAAAAAAGGGAGAAAGGACCAGAAAGACTAAAGGATAAATGTAAAAATGTTTAAGTGATGTGGAATGTGTGTGTGTGGGGGGATTTAATCCAGGGTCTTTGTATTGAGCTACATCCCAGCCCTTAAAAATAAAAAAAAATTTTTCTTTTTTCAATTTTGAGGTCTCACTAAGTCACTAAATCGCCCAGGATAGGCTTGAACTTGTGATTCTCTTGCCTCAGCCCTCCAGAGTGCTGGGATTACAAGTGAACCATGTCCAGCATAGAAATTAAAATGTTAATAGGAATTCACAGCTCTTCTTGTAAGTGACTTGAGGTAACATGTGAAGACGGTTTACTGCTCCTGACCTAGGAAACCCCACAAAATCATGCAAATCAAAGAGGGTCAAATCTTCCCGTTCACTTTAAAAACATCTGGGAAACTACCCCGGCCATCGAGGGTATGCATATCCCAAAGGCCACCGAGTATCTGAAGGATGTCACTTTATGTTTACTTTTTTTTTTTTTTTTGTCTTTTTGAGACAGGGTCTGGCTATGCACTTCAGGCTGGCCTTGCACTCACTTTGTAGCCCAAGCTGGTCTCGAATTCACAACAGTCCTCCTGCCTCAGCCTCCCAAGTGCTGGAATTACAAGCATGTGCCACCAAGTCTGGCTGGATGTCACTTTAAAGCGGCAACATGTCCGTTTAGGCTTTAGTGGTGGGGCCGATAAGTACGCCCAGGCCAAACAACTGGGCTGGACACAGGGTCAGTGGTGGCCCAGAAAGAGTGCTGAATTTTTGCTGCACAGAGAGTAATACTGACCTTGGGGTTTAGACATAGATTCTCTGGTCACTGAACAAGGCACCCAAGATGCACCGAGAACTTACAGAGCTCAGGGTTGGATTAACTCAATGGAGAGCTCTCCCTGCCACACTGGGAAGACCCTGACTGAACAGGAGCAGACTTCTTAAAGCAGAGCAGGAAGCTGTGCAGAAGAAACAGCCCAGAAGAAACTGAAGAAACAAACCCTGACAGCACAGAAATAAATTAAGCATAGAATAAATGCAAACAAGTTAAAAAACAAAACAAAACAAGGAGTTTACAGAACCAAGAGATGAGCAGAGAAAACCCTGGTCTCCCTCACCGTTTACATCTTATCCACACTCTCTCCCTTGAGATTTATATTCTAGATCCCAAATCTGTGGGTTCAACCAACAGCGGATTGCAAATATTTGAAAAAAGCCAGGATGTGGTGCACCCCTGTAATCCCAGCAGGCTGAGGAAGGAGGACCATTGGCTTTTGGTATCTAGAGAGGTTCTAAAAGCAATACTGCAAGACAAATGTAGGCTTTGGCTATCTAAAGAATCACTAAAGCCAGACGTGGTGGTGCACACCTGTAATCCCAGCACTTGGGAGGCTGAGGCAGGAGGATCATTTCGAGTGAGACCAGCCTGGGCTATAAAGTGAGCTCAAGGCCGGCCTGAAGTGCATAGCGAGACCCTGTCTCAAAAAGAACAACAACAAAAAAATCACTAAAACTCACTGAAGAAAAAAAAATACAATAGCTACCATTCATTACATGTTTACTATAAACAAGGTACTATTCTAAGCATTTAGTATGTCTTATCTCATTTAACTTATTTGGCAATAAAACTATGGCATGCCTACTATGTTAAACAAGTGTGCACTAGTAGAGAATCATGCAAAGATACTGTCCTTTTCTTCAAGCAGTTTAAAGAACATCATAAAGCCGGCATGGTAGTGCATGCCTGTAATCCCAGCACTTAGGAGGCTGAGGCAGGAAGACCATTGTGAGTTCAAGGTCATAGAGGAATACACAGTGAGATGCTGTTGCAAGGGAAAAAAAAAAACAAAAGTGAGAAACAAAAAAAAAAACCTGAAAGGACATCACAGTGTTAGTAAAAGTTTTTAAAAAATAAAAGTTAAATGAGAGCATTTACTGTGTTCTTATTATGTGTCAGACACTGGGAACAAAGAGAACAAACACAGAGGAGTCATTTTTCTCATTCCAGTGGAAGGAAACAGATTATAAGCAAGGAAATAACCCAGGTATAGTGGTGCATGTCTGCAAAAAATTCCAACACTCTGGAGGCGGCGGCGGAGATTCCAAGTGAGCCGTCTGAGGCCAGGCTGAGCTACATAGTGACATCCTGTCTCAAAGAAAAAGAATATAGAAACAAACAAGCAGACAATCGTGGAAGGTGATAAATTGATAAATGCAATACAGAGAATAAACGAGTGATTAGGGACAGGTGGCAATTTCGAGTGAGGGACGGGGAAAGCCTCTTTGGGAAGGTGACACATTGGCATTCCAGGTGGAGGAGTAAGTGCAAAGCCCTGTTACAAGTGTTAGGAACAGAAATAAGGACACGACCCCCGGTGCAGAGAAAGCAGGGGGCGAGAGGTTTGATGTGAGCCAGGTGCTAGATGACCATAAAGAGTTTGGATCCCAGCACTCGGGAAGCTGAAGCAGGAGGACTGATGTAAGTTGGAGGCCAGCCTGCGCTACAAAGTGAGTTTAAGGTCAGCTTGGCCTTGAACTCATAGCAATCTTCCTGCCTCAGCTTCCTGAGCTCTGGGATTAAGGGCAGGCGCCACCACGCCCAGCATTGGGTTTTATATTAATTGCCATATAATTGCAGCATAATATAAGGAATCAACTTTAAGCAGTGATGGTCTGATTCCTTTATATTTTGCGAAGATAACTGTGGCTGCTATGTAAGGCAGGGAATGTAAAGATGCATGAGAGGAAGTGGAAAGGTCAGAGGAAGTGGAAAGGTCAGAGGAAGTGGAAAGGTCAGAGGAAGCAGTGGTTCTGGGAAGAAATGACAAAGGCTCAGATCCCAGCAGTAGTGATGGAGACGGAAAAAAAGTCAAGTTACCTCACTTCATCCTCCTAACATCGGTTTCCAGCTGCTCATAATCTAAGTGCAACTCAAAGGCTTGGCACCGGTTTCCCCGTTTACTGCTCTGCTTCCCAAACAGTGCCCTTTTAAGTCTTCAACATGTTAGTTTATTAGGCTAAATTGTTCCTGAAAAGATTTATATAGAGCTGGGTGTAGTGGCACATACCTGTGATTCCAGCACTCTGGGAGGCCGAGACAGGAGGATTGAAAGTTAAAGCCCAGCCTGGGCTTTTCAAGAGATTCAGTGGGACTCCTGTTTCTTTTTTTGAGACAGAGTCTAGCTATATATTTCAGGGTGCCCTTGAACTCACTACCGTAGCCCAGATGGCTTCACACTCGAGGTACTCAGCCTTGAGTGCTAGGATTACAGGTGTGCACCACCACACCTGGCAAAAATTTATCCCTTCCCTTGCTTGAAGGGAAATTCCTCCACTTGCTAAAGGTTTGTACTCTAGTGGCACCTTTGTTTTGTCTTTTTGAGACATGGTTTTGCTCTGTAGTTCTCTGTAGTTCTTGAACTCACTATGTAGTCTAACCTGCCTTGAACTTGCAGTGATCCTCCTGCAATGCATGCACCACCACGCCTGGTTGTTCCATTTCAAAATAAAAAATTAAAATATAAGAAAGGATCAGGGCTGGGCGTGGTGGCGCATGCCTGCAATCCCAGCACTTGGGAGGCTGAGGCAGGAGGATGGTAGCTTGGGCTACAAAGTGAGCTCACAGCCAGCCTGAGACCCTGTCTCAAAAAGACAAAAAAAAAAAAAGGATTGGGGACGTTGTTCAATGCAAGGCCCTAGGGTCAATCCCTAGTAGAACACACACACACTCACATGCACACAGATTTTTCTGGAGGTCTCTGGAAAGAATGTTCAAGAAGAGCCAGAGTGGGTACTGTGTGAAGTAGTGAATCCTTTTGTGGCTTGTCTAGAACACCTGAGACTACCTACCCCATGACTAAGTTACATTAGAATGGTATGAGTCACCTTACCTCCTTCTGCCCACCCCAAAGGAATAAGTCTAACCCTTAACAGGTTTTAGCAAGTTCCCCATATTTTCTTTGTTCAGTCCCAATTTCCCTTAGAGAGGGCACATACAGCTGGGCACAGCGGATGGCCAAGGCCGGCCTGGGCTACTTAGTAAGACCCTGTCTCAAAATAAAAACCGAAAAGGGCTGGACATGCAACTCACTGGTAGACCACCCCTAGGCTCAATGCCCAGTACCACAAAAAACAAAACCCACGCCCCTCCCGCAAAGCACCACATACACATCCTCCTGCCAAGTCAAAGGAACTCGGTGGCAGGCTTGCCAAGACAAATCCAGAGCTAATCTATTCTTTTCCTACGAAGCAATTGCTTTAAGCCCCTGAATGACGTCACGTCAGATTCCACTCAGACCAATGGGTTCCAGGAATCCTGCGACAGGTGACGCCCCAGAAAGTAATTCCAGCGAGAACGAAGTTTCCACCGATAGCCTCAGCGCTCTTCCTTCCGGACTCTATGAGCGGCTACTTGCGGATGCCTACGGCTAGGGGCGGGTCTGTGTTTCACGCAGCGAAGCTAATGGGGACCCAAGGAGGACAAAGGACAAGTAACTGCGGCGGCGGTGGAAGAGGGTGGGCCCTAAAGGGAAGTGGATCCACAAATCCATCAAACAATGGGGAGCGGCAGGCGGAAGGGTGTTCCTGGCTAAAGACCGAGGGTCGAGCAGAAATCTTAGGGATGAAGCTTAGGCTTCATCCAAAGGGTCCTAAGGGTATTTAGCAACAACCAATATCTCTGGTGGCCAGTGTAAGCTTCTCTCCAGCCCGCAGCCGTCCTCTCTCCTGGGAACCCAACATCAATTCTCACACCCCCAGCGGAAGATCTGAAATCTCCATCTCCCCTACCCCGTCCCGCCGCTTTCCCCCAGGACCCGGCAGCGGGTCCGAACGCCCCTTCCCCTACGGCGGCTGCAGGTAGAGCTCTCACCGTCCCGGGGGCTCCTCTGCTTTCAGCTGAGTGGCAAGCGGACTCAGTGCCGCCCCAAGCCCGTGGCCACCTGCCCGCCCGCGATCCCGGAATGTGAGCTCACATCCTGCGCCCGCAGACTCCTCCTGGCGGACCGGCCCAGCCCTGCCTACCCGGGAAACTGAGACTACAAGGCCCGTCATGCACAACACTCTATCTGGGGGCGGGGGCAGAATGCCCAGTTTCCCCTACCCCCTCTCTCTACGAGAACTCAACTACTTCCGGAGGCCTTGTTGGCGCAAAGGCCTCTGGGTCTTGTAGGCAGTTCCTGGACTCTGTTTCCCAAAAGGCTTTGTGGACGGGCGGGGGGGGGGGAGTGCTTCCGGTGTCCGGCAGTGACGTTGTGGGTAAACAGGTTCTGTAGCCGTGGCAGCGGCCGGGGCTGGCGGACTGTTCCCTGGCTGCGGCTTAGGGCGGGAGAAGCTGAGTAGCCATAGCAGCAGCCTGGGCCGAAGGGCGCCGCCGTTACCGGGTCGGCAGGTAGGCGGTGACTTCGGGTCGGGGGACGCGGGCAGACCAGGGGCAGAAGGCATCAGACAGGCTCCCGCCCTGGAAAGGCAAACCCAGGTCAAAACAAACGTGAGCGTTTCCCCCGCCCCCCGAATTCTTAGGGAGGGGTTTCACACCCAGCTTGCTCAAGCTTCGTGCCTGGTGCGTTGATGTTCGCACCGGTCTTACGAGGAAACTGCTGCTCAGGTAACACAAGGAGCTTAGCACCAGCAGTTTGGCTTCGGCCTTTTCTTTCGTTTCTTTTTTGGTACCGAGAATCAAACTCAGGACCTTGCGCTTGCCAGGCAGGCGCTTATGCCCCTGAGCTACATCCCCGGTCTCAGGCCTTTTCTAACTTGCCTGATCCCAGTTCCACACCCCTGCGGTCTTGTTCGAAGTGCCCTGCATGGATGTGGGGGGACCAAGGCGCTGAGAGCGTGTCACCGCCCTTGTCCCTGGGGAGCTCAGTCCCAGACCCCGCGCCCGAATTTCCCTGTGCTCAGTCACGTGTGTGTGGGGAATTGGGAAAGAATCTGATAGTCTCCTGTGACCCTGTCTACATCCCTCTTCCATCTCACCCATCTCGTTAAACTATGCCCTCCCGTCAAACACTTGGTCCAAGCCCTATTTATGAGAATCACGCATGATGCTTTTGTTTACTCACCTCCAAATCCCCACGTTCAGTCACTCCATCACTTTTAACTTAACTCAGAAAAACATCCCAACTCGGAACACTTGTCTTCACGGGCCAGCCTTGCTTACTGCAATAGCTTCCTGTTTCCACAGTAGTTCATTGCACATTTACTGAGTGCCACTTATGTGTGGGCTGCATGCAGAGTGCTAGGGTTACAGTGAGGAATCAAGTAGGTATGCTTTTGTTCCTCAATACAATGTCCAGGCCGAGGCCGAGTGATCTTTTTACATTTGATAATGGTGCTCTGCTGAGAATCCACCAGCTGCCCATTGCCATTATAAAATCCAAGCCCGAACCGGGTGTGAGGGTGAATACCTGTAATCTTAGCACTCTGGGAGGCTGAGGCAGGATTGCAAGTTCAAGCCCAACCTAAGTGACTTAGTGAGATCTTGTCTCAAAAATAAAAAAGGGGGTGGGGGTAATAATGTGGCTCAGTGGTAGAGCCCCATCCTTCCATGCACAAGGCCTGGGTTCAGTCCCCAGCATCACCCCTCACCCCCCAAATGGCTGAGAGTATAGGATATAGCTCACTGCTGTGGTTTTGGAACCCTTCACGATACAACTCTAGCTCCCATCTCTGGCGTCATCCTTTTTCTCTCTCTGTTTTGATCACACTAGCCTTTCAGTTCTTAGACAGATTTCTTCTAGCCTCAGGCTCTTTCCACATGATTTGCCTTCTGTCTAGAATGTCTCCATCTGCTGGCACTTCAACTTTTGGACATCGTTTATGTCTCAATTTAAGCATCACTTACTTGTTTTGGTTTTTTAAGACAGAGTCTCACTGCGTGTTTCAGTATGGTCTTGAACTCACTGGGTAGCCCAGGTTGGCCCTGAGACCTGATCACCCCTCATGGTGATTCACCTTGCTGGGATTACAGGCGTGTGCCACGATGCCTGGTCAAGCATCACTGTTGTAGGTCTTTGCTGACATTCCTCTGTCCCTCGAGTTTGTCGTGATGCTCCATATTTACATAACATCAGCTGCTTTTCCTCATACCGTCATCATAGTTTGTGATTATTTGTTTACTGTCTTTCCAGAGGCATTTTCTTCACCCTGTCAGCAGAGCAGGGACTCAATGAAAGGGAGGGCAGTGGAAGTGGAAACAGTATTTTCTCTCTTCTAGGGTAATGATGAGAAGTGAAGAGTCACCGGGCGTGGTGGTGAATGCCTGTAATCCCAGCACTTGGGAGGCTGAGGCAGGAGGATCGTTGTGAGTTCGAGGCCAGCCTGGGCTACAAAGTGAGCTCAAGGCCAGCCTGAACTGCATACTGAGACCCTGTCTCAAAAAAAAAAAAAAAAAAAAAAAAAAAAAAAAGAAGTGAAGAGTAGCCCGAGGTAGTGACAGTGAGAAGTAGAGAACCGAGCGAGGTGGTTGCAGTGGAAAAGTGGAGGATGCACTAAGCAGGTAAAGATGAGAAGTGATGAACAGACTGAGGCAGAAAGGAGGAAATGGAGAGCAGACTAAGGTGCTAACAGTGAGAAGGGAATAGGGACCAGCATGGCAGCAGGAAGAAATGGTTAGATTCTGGCTATGTTTTGATTATAAAGAATTTACCAAAGGGTTAGATGTGGGGTGTCAGAGAAAGACAAGAGGTGCTGATGACTGTAGATTGTGGGAAGACGGAGTTGCCATCAGCCTGCCTGGGGCAGGGTGGGAGGCATCAGGGGCTCTAGTTTGGACTTGGAAGGCGGAGGAGCCTGCTAGACTCCAGAGACCATGTGGGGAAGGCGATGGGAGGCAGTATGTGGAGTTCGGAGACGTGCCGCAGCTGGAGATGCACCTCAGAGCCACCTGCATAAACCTGCATAAGGGTATTTCGAGTGATCTCTAACGGGAGGGCTCTGAGAGATGGAGGAGGGGCAGGCTGGAGACTTGCGGCCTCTTGGTGGAGGTTCTGCAGATGCGAACTGCAAAGGAGGCTGAGGGGTAGCAGCACCGGGGAAACAAGCACCGGAGAAGAGCTCCTGGAGCCCCCAGGAGCTGGGTTTTCACTTAGTTTTGAGTATCTATGCTGACTGTAGCAGGAAGGAAGGTACATGCAGGGCAAAGAAAGAGGAAATCAAAGTTCTGGCAGCAGTAGGATTTAATTCTTTTCTTCCTCCCTCCCTCCTTCCTAGAGATTGAACCTGGGGCTTTGCATCTGCTAAGTAAGCACGCACTGAACCTCTGAGCCACCTCCTCAGCCCAGGGGACTTAATTCTTTCCCAAACACTGCTCCTCTTGTGGCAAGCCTGCTCTGGACAGTCACTCCCAGAATCACCCCATTCAGAACAGAACTTTTCTTTTTTCTTTCCGGTACCGGGAATCGAACTCATGACCTTGCGCTTGCCAGGCAGGTGCTGTGCCACTGAGCTAAATCCCCAGCCCCAGAACAGAACTTTTCTGAGGTAGAAAAGGGAGTAGGCACGGCTGGGAGCAGTGGGAAGGGGTGGTGCAGCGCACAGTCTCTGGAACAGTGGGTTTGGGCCTAGTAGCCAGTGGCTAGACCTCACTAGCATTGCTGCCCTTTGTGTGTGCATGTGCGCATGTGGTGTGTGTATTTCAGCCAGAACACGGGTGGCTTTTCAGTGTTTCTTCCAGAACTGAGGCATCCTTTGGACCTGGGGAGGGAGAAGATATCTTTGTTGGTTCTCTGTTGCCTACAGATGAAATCCATACTCCTCAGCTTGGCACACAGAGACCTTGATCTGGCCCCAGCCCGCTTTCCTGGCACCATTCTTTTTCCTTCCATTCTTTAGGCAGGATAGGCCCCTTCGGTGACATTGGGCCTGTGTCCATGCTGTTTCCTCTGCTTGGAATGCCTTTTCCTGGCCTCCTTACTTGGTATGTTCTTGCCGCTACTTCATTCCTTTTTGTTTTCTGATAGAGACCCAACTTTCAGTCCTAATTCAGGCAAATGAATAGTATCTTCTGGCATCTATTTTAGGCAATATTCTCACTTATGTTACTTTTTTGTGACTTTTTTTTTTTTTTTTTGTCATTTTTGAGAGGGTTCTGCTATTCAGTTCAGGCTGGCCTTGAGCTCACTTTGTAGCCCAGCCTGGCTTTGAACTTGTGGTGATCATCCTGCCTCAGCCTCCTGAGTGCTGGGTTTACAGATGTGCGCCGCTACATCCAGCTGTGACTTGTTTTTTAACCCTAATTTTTTTTTGTTTTGCTTGTTTTTTTTTTTTTTTTTTTTTAAATCATCTTTTTGAGACAGGGTTTTGCTGTGCAGTTCAGGCTGGCCTTGAGCTCACTTGATAGCCCAGGCTGGTCTCAAACTCACAATGATCTTCCTGCCTCAGCCTCCCGAGTGCTGGGATTACAGGCGTATGTCACTGTGCCCAGCTCTGCTTGTTTTTTAAATTTGTTTTGGTTTTTCAGTCTTTTGTAACAGGTCTTACACTGGCCTTAAACTACCAGTGTAGCCCAAGCTGGCCTTAAGCTCTTGGTAATCCTTCTGCCTCAGCCTCCCAAGTGTTGGGATTATAGGCATGTGCCACCACATCTGGCCTATTTTTTTTTTTTTTTTTCCTAAGGAAAATTTCTGGGAGAAAAGGAGTAGGGAATAGTAATGAGGGAATGGGGACTTGGAATAACTCCTGGGAGACAGGAGGGGTCCCGATAGGTTGCCACATCTGGCCTATTTTTAAACTCTAATTTTTAAATTCTCGTCCATTTTTTTGTTTTTTATTATTCTAGTGCAAGCCTGTTTGAGTCCTTTTGGGTACATAACTGGGATTATAAATATGCTTTTGGCTCACAACTTGGGCCAGATGCCACTCACTTAATTGCTTTTCCTCCTTCTGCTCTCTTTAGTGATGTTTCTGAAAAAGCACTCAACACAGTGTAACTTTTCAGTTTACCTGTCTGTCTTCCTCCAGCTGAACTATGTGCTCCTGCAGGGCGGGCACCACATGGCATGCATCTCTGTACCCCCAGCATCTAGCAGTGCTGGCATGTAGTTGGCACTCAAGAAATGTGTGTTGAATGAAGGATGTCTGTGCCAAGCAACGGGACTTTCCTCTTTCCTGACCCTTGCTCCTATGACACACCTCCTCCCGACTGCCACTGTCAGCCCTGCAGAGCAGGACTCTAGGGGACCTCGAAGGGAACCAGGTGAGGCTGAGCGGCGGAGACAGGGACAGCAGGGGGCCTTGGCGTTGGTGTCCGGGGACAGGAATGGTGTGGGCCGGCGACAGCTCCTTGGGTGATGGCAAATGACTGGGTGTTGGGGCTGCTTTCTTTGCAGCTATGGCCAAAGACATCCTGGGTGAAGCCGGGTTGCACTTTGATGAGCTGAATAAGCTGCGGGTGTTGGACCCAGAGGTTACGCAGCAGACCATAGAGCTCAAGGAAGAGTGCAAGGACTTTGTGGACAGTGAGTATCTTTGGGGGGGGACATCAGCTTTGCTCACTTCCAGCTGTTCCACCTCAGCCCCTCCCTGTAGCTCTTGCCCTGTCAGAGTGGAGCTGCTGACTCTGTGCGGGCTGTCTGACCTCTGAATCCCCCGCCCTCTTCTGACGCCGTCCTGGAGTCGCACACTGAGCCAGAATCGGGACAGGAGGGGTTGTTAGCTACGCTGTCTGTAATTCTTTCTTTGCTCAAAAACCTTAAACTTCATGGAGCAGAACCGTGGGTTGGGAGCAGGAAGTGCAGTTAGCTATTCTGGCTCGATTGCTTAGTGGAAATAGTGTTCTCATGGCAGAGGCTTCCCTGTGTGGAGTTAGAGGTACTAAAGTCTCTAGGAGCAGCTCAGCAAACTTAGTGAAGTCACGGACTACACATCCAAGAGGTTGCCTGGCCCACGGCGCAGGCACAGGCAAGGCCAGTGTCAGTGGTCAGAGCTGGATCTAGCTGGAATGTGATTCTGAGCCTTCTGGGGCTCCGTAGGCTGTGGAGAGTTTGGTGAGAGGTTGCTTGGGTTCCACTGCCAATCTTCCGCGACTGCTGTGTAGATGCTAGGTCTCAGTTTCCCCCAGTAAAGCGTGGTTCCATCCTACTAAGGCCATTGAAAATGTGAATGGACCATTTGGCACTTAAATGCTGGGTGCTCGTTACTCTGGTGATGGGTGGAAGGCTCCCACCCGCACCGCTAACCGAAATCTAGTGTGTCCACGGCTAGTGGAGGCTGCGTGTTCCCAGACAGTCCTTCTGGGAACTCCGCTTTGTGCTTCCTGTCACTCCTGGGGAGGGAGGCTGCGTCTGCCTGGAGCAGAGGTAACAGCAGGTGGCTGGCTCAGTGGTGATTGAGGGTCCAGATACCCTGGGTCCAGCTCTGGGCATCTGGCCACCTCCTCTGGGTTCACACTGAGGGGGGAAACTTAAGCCAGAAGGCACCAAACTCTTTTGATATAAACTAGAAGGGGCAGTTAGCCCTGTTCTCTCTGTTTCGAGGGAGTGCTGAAGGTAAGAAATATCTTTTGTTCTTTCCCCAAAAGAAATCGGCCAGTTTCAGAAAATCGTTGGTGGCCTAATTGAACTTGTTGACCAACTTGCAAAAGAAGCAGAAAATGAGAAGATGAAGGTAAAATCAACACGTCTTCTATCTCGGCCCGGGACCCTCTTTCTCTAGCCTCTCATCCTGTGCTCTCTGAGTTTGCTTGTGGGTTCTCTTATTTAATTAAAACAAGATGTTCACCATTTCTGGCCTGGTTTACCTGCTGACCTTATGTGCCAGTCTGCTTTGTCATGACTTTCTTTGATCTTCACGTCAGCACAGATAGGTCGTTTTCTCTTCCTTTTACACTCAGAGAAACGAAAGGCTTGCATGGTGTAGATGTCTGCATGAAGCATGCAGAGCTCCACGATACCACTCAGTAGGCCACTGGATACTTGCAGGCCTGGCTCTGGGAACGCTCCCGGACCCGCCGGAGCTGCAGGCCAGTTCTCACCACGCACTTTGGGAGCAGTAGGTTATGTTCCTTCTGACAAAGCCCCAGAGCCACGTGGCAGCACTTTCTTTTCCCCTCCGGGTACTGACATAAGGCTGCAATGGCCCTTCTCCACCTTGAGGACTTCTGCTACAGATGGGCTTAACACGTTCCCAGTGGCTTGGACCACTGGTGATACATGCATGACTGTCCCATCAAGTGGCTTGGACTACTGGTGGTACAAAGGGACCTGATTGCTTTTATCAGTCTTTTTACTAATAAAATTAATAAAGAGCCACTGATTCAAGCTGCCTGGCAGCAAGACATGAATTACGGCCCCGTTGTAACTGTGTTAATAAAGCCATGGCCTTCTCTGGCAATACTGTTTCTTAGGCCATTGGTGCTCGGAACTTGCTCAAATCTATAGCAAAGCAGAGAGAAGCCCAACAACAGCAGCTTCAAGCACTAATAGCGGAAAAGAAAATGCAGCTAGAAAGGTAAGTGATGATGTAAACCAGGCTTACTCCACACTTAAGTTCTACTTCTCCTTGAATGATCACCTCATCTTTATTATTCATCATTTTCTGGGGAATAGCATCTCACTTACCCTGATTTGGAGATTTGAAAAATAGCCGGGTGTGGTGGTACGTCTGTAATCCCAGCACTAGGTAGGCTGAGGCAGGAGGATTGTTGTGAGTTTGAGGCCAGCCTGGGCTACAAGTGAGCTCAAGGCCAGCTTGAACTGCATAGCGAGACCTTGTCTCAGAAAGACCAAAAAAAAAAAAAAGATTTTAAAAATAAAATTACATTTGATGGGAAGGAAAATTAGCTAATATCAAACACCTTCTTATAGTACCTTAAGGGCCCACAGCGGGCTGGCCTTCAACAAGAGGCAAGCTTCTCGGGGTGGAGGTTTCCCATGTGTGGTCCTGGGCTTTCCCTCTGTCTTATTTCTCTCTTGTCTTCATTAATGGCACTTTGAACTTACACCATTTCTTGCACTCATTGAAACCTCATGTTCTTGTCTAGAAGCATTAAGTCTGTGGCTTATTTCATCCTTTTCAGGGCTTCAACAATTTTGTTTTTCAGGTATCGAGTTGAATATGAAGCTTTGTGTAAAGTAGAAGCAGAACAAAATGAATTTATTGACCAATTTATTTTTCAGAAATGAACTGAAAATTTCATTTTTATAGCAGGAAGGTTAAAAAAAAAAAAAGCCCCCTAAACCAAAAAAACCTCTACCATTCCAGTGACTTGACTGATGGCTTAAGTATGTCCCGAGACGGTGTGTAAGGAGCAGCCCCTGAAGGCAGGAATGCAAACCCAGGGGAGCTGGTATCAGACAGCAGTGCTGAGCCCCGGCCAGTGGCCACACAGGGCAGGTCCTCACCTCTTGCATTCTTAGTATGAACGAAGCAGTCTGTACACTTTGCTCTTTTTTGTAAACTCACAATACTTTGGAAGGAAAAGCAATAAATTATTGTTTTCAAATGGTTTCAGCTACCTTTCTTCACCCAGTGCCTTGCAACGTGCTTAACCCATTTCGATAGAACCCTGGATGTTTTAGCCCCTAGTCCACAAAACACACCAGGCAGTGGCAACAGCTCCCTTTATTTGGACCAGACACAGACAAATCATAGACACCAAAACCAGCAGTCACACCAACATGGCTTCCGAGCGCAAGGGGCAGAACAGGGTTGATGGGGACCTGTTATCCTTCCATCTTTCAGGGACAGCCTCGAATACTGGTTTAGGGAAGCCTCATGGAGCCCCAAGCGCGAGTATCCAGAGACCCGTGACAGGAGGGTCTGTCACTACATACCCGGGCTGGTCACGGCCGGCAGTCCCGCTCCTGACAAGATGGGAACGGTTAGACTGTCAAGAAGAGTGAAGTCACCCCTTCGGAGCAAACTTCCAGGTCAAGCTTGACATGCCAGACCTCGGGGTAAAGAGAATTATCTCAGGTGGTCTCTAAAAATAGGCAAGACTAAGATTGTGAAATAAGACTACAAATGACTTAAAAAAATCTCTTGGGATGACTGGTTTAAGATAGAAACAAAAACACCTTCAGTTCAACCTATTTCTCACTGGAAGTCACAACAGGGCTAACCCTTAAGGTTTAAACCTCCTTTGCATATTTTACTTTTTTCCCAGGGATAGGTAGTAGGAGCCTAAGTGACAGTTTTCAGTGACTATAAATAGTTTCTAGTTTTAAAATGGCTTGAAGCATTTCACTGTTCACTTGGTTGGTGGTATCTACAGAGAATCACAGACAAGGGCTTAGTCGTGGCTGCAGAACTGTAACAACTCAGAACATGGCAAGCAGGCCACGTCGTATGGAAGGTCACCACGTCTGCGGTCTGGTCCCGCTTTTGCTAGTCCTGCATGGGCCTCAGGCATCACGTTCCTGAAGGCTGGCCCACAGCCGGCCCCCGCTAACTGGACACAGCCCTTGCCGCCACCTTGCTCCTGAGTACTGCTGCTGGTGTTTTCAAATGCTACTGAAGCCATGGGTTCAAAACAGTTTTTCTGTATTGGGTCCAAAAGATGCCCCTGTGGAAACTTCTCTCCTCGGCCAGTAGCGACTTCCTCATTTTTTCTTCCTTTTGTCCTCATGGTTGTAGTAAGGGTTCCGCAGCATGAAGAGCAGAAGTATGAGAGGGATGAGTAAGTAGGGGGCATAGATGCTTATGAGGGTGAGTCGTTCACGGAGAGTGTGAGGTCCGTGTCCTTTGAAGTGACTGGTTTTGGAGAAATCGTCAAACAGAAAGGAGGCGAGGATTGGAATTAACGTTGTCATGCAGTGAACTGAGTAGATGATGGCGGGGGTGCGGATCCACCTGCAGCTTCCTGCAGTAGAGGGAGAGAAGACGGCTCTGTTCACGGGACCCTCTGGGACATCTCTCCCCCGCCCTCTTCAGTTCAGTCATTCTCCCCTGCAGGCAGAAACTCAGAACAAACAGAAAACTGGATCTCTACTGCCTAGCGTGCACACTTACACGGCCACGGGAATCCCCGCTCACTGCCAAAGCACTGAGGAATTAACTGAGAAAAATCACCTGGCAGTAGAACTGCCACCACCAGTGTGGCCTAAAAGGGCCGGGGATATAGCTCAGCGGCGCAGCACCCGCCTGGCAAGCGCAAGGTCCTGAGTTTGATTCCTGGTACCAAAAGAAAGAACACCAGTGTGGCCTAAAATCCAAGGAGGGGGAACGCTCTGTGGCAGCATCTGGCTGTGAAGTAATGATACGTGGGCGTGGGGCACGGGCATGGACCCGGTGACCTGTAGGTGCCAGTGTAGAATTACTACTTTCAGCTGTAGGAACTTCGTTACCAAGGAGAGAGGGATGGCGACCTTTATAAAAGCATTAAGTAGCCAGGCATGGTGGTGCATGCCTCTTATCCCAGCACTTTCGAGGCTGAGGCAGGAGGATCACTGTGAGTTCGAGAACAGCCTGGGCGACATAGTGAACTGAAGACCAGCTTCAACTACACAGCAAGACCTTCTCTCCAAAAAAAAAAAAAAAAAAAAAAAAAAAGTGTGTGTATGTGTATGTGTACACACATACATGAAGGAAGAATTTTTTTGTTTTGTTTTTTTTCTGGTACCGGGAATCGAACTCACGACCTTGCGCTTGCCAGGCAGGTGCTGTGCCGCTGAGCTAAATCCCCAGCCCCCAAGGAAGAATTTTTAAATGAGAAATTAAACCTTTTAGGGATTAGCATGATGCTACTGCCCATAAGTCAGTATAGTACTATCCAAAGCAGGAAGATAAAGCCAACAGTAAAAAATTCTGTGTGTAGGGGAGGGGCGAAGGGAATAAGCTCTTCTCCAAGTGGCCGCAGCTCTCGTGTGCATGAGACTCCAGACAACTGAGGCAGCCAAGCAGCCTGGCTGGCCGGGGCATTAGCCTGTGCCACACTGATGTCCCTCTACGGGCCCTATGGTGCCCTCAGGCCAACTACAGGCACTTCTCCCCTTCCCCTTGCAGACTTTCCCCAAAGACTTCGGGGACCTCACTTCTGGGTGAGGAGGGCGGCTTCCCACCATTCACCAACCTTTCAAGAAGGCGTACGCTGCCACGGGGAAGAAGGGCAGCTGAAAGAGAAGCTCGCAAAACAGGAAGGACGTAAACCACACCGGGCGATGCTCCATCAGAGAGTCCTTGAACTCCGCAGAATACCACTTCAGCAGGTTTCTGACCTGAAGGAAAGAATGCGCGGGCTGAATCACAGCAGCCTGGCTGGGACAGGCTCAGCAGCTCCTGAAGATACCCGGATGGAGTCTCCCCCGAACCCCGCCCGCAGCACACACAGCTGGCTTTTGTGATAGAGCCAGATGGTCACCGAATAGAAACTCACTAGCTCTAATCCCAACTTTCTTTTTGTTTTTTTGTTTGTTTGCTTTGTTTTTTTTTTTCTGGTACCGGGAGTCGAACTCACGACCTTGTGCTTGCCAGGCAGGCACTGTGCCGCTGAGCTAAATCCCCAGCCCACTAATCCCAACTTTCGCTATGAAGATTTCCTCACCTCTCAGCCCCTTCTTGGCACTACCCAGCGTTTGTTCACAACTCCTCGGTGACACAAATCCAGGTGCGCTGCCCACTGTCAAGAGCAACACTAAGTACCTAGCACTTAGGTGTTTGCTGAATGAACAAGTGTGCCACATCTGCCAGCATCTTTTTTTTGTAAGGCAATGACCAATGTGTAAACCATCCTGACATTTTCCCTTTCATAACAGTTGTACATCCAACTCCAAAGCCATATTCCTTTTTTTTTTTTTTTTTCCCAAAGGCCATATTCCTTCAGATAAAGAAATACATCGAATTTCCTCTTTTTGGTGAGGGAGAGATGGTGGGTAAATCTAAGCTCTGTGGATATGTAGCTTTTGTACTTTTATTAGTATAAGTTGTACATATTAAGGGAACACATGCCTACCACACACATTGATCAGAATTAACCACCCTGCCTGTGCATCTTGTGGAGATGTAAACGTTGGATACTTTGACTCCAATTTGCAGATAAGTTATTCATCAGTCTTTTTTTATTTTGTTTTTGGTTTTTCAAGACAGAGCTTAGCTATGTAGCCCAGGCTGGCCTTGGACTCATGGTGATCCTCCTGCCTCAGCCTCCTGAGTGCTGGAATGACAGGTACCGGTATGCACCCCTGTGCCTGGTGTTATTCATTTTTAACTCTTTTAATTCTAATTTTTTTTTTTTTTTAAGGAGACCAGTAGGATATTTGTAGAATAAACTGCTCCAAACTGTGTAGCTTCTGGGCTATAGCAAGGTGTGAGTTAGCAGTTTCAGCTCTAGCTTGGGTCCCATCCTTGTGATTACCCTGTAAAAAGGACACAGACCAGAGCTGATGTGGCTACATGCACCGGAAGGAGACAGAGCTTGAGGCGGCCCGCTTTGTGCTTTGTAAGAGCCCAAAGCCTTGGAGTAGGACAGTGCCGGCACACACACCTTCAAAGCCAAGTAGGTGTCTTGATATGATGAATAAAACAGCTTCAAGAATTTATCTTAGGGGCTGGGGATTTAGCTCAGCGGCAAAGCGCCTGCCTGGCAAGTGCAAGGTCGTGAGTTCGGTTCCCAGTACCGGAGAAAAACCAAAAAAAAAGAATCTATCTTACAGTGTCAAGTTCAGGAATAGTTTTCCTGTTAATTTTTAATCAGAAGATAAAGGCTCACTGCTGTGAAATAGAGGCCATGTTGCCATAAGGGAGCTTTGAGCAAATATCCAGAAACAAACATCCTGTTACATAATACTAATTTCAGGGGGTTCTGGCTAGATAACCAGTTTATTGACCAGTGATCTCTAATGTGTACTTGACGTGGAGTTTGAATTTATGGCGATACTTTGCTTCCTCCTCAGCCCTTTCTAGGACGTTAACGCGGTAGGAAGAAATATACATGAAGGTTGAGTCATTGCCCCTCTCTGGGGCTCTACTTCCTCACCTTACGTAGAAGGGGCAATTGAGACTAAATGATTTTTTCTCTTTCGAAAGAACTAGAGGAAACTACCTGCTTTAAAAGATTTGCTGCAAACCAGACCTGGCGACGCACACCTGTAATCCCAGCACTCCCGACAGAGACAGGAGGCTCACTGAGAATTTGAGACCAGTCTGGGCCACACAGTTCAAGGCCAGCCTGCAATGCGTAGTGACAGCCTCTCTCTACCCCGCTGCCCCGCTCCAAAATTTTACTGCAAAATTTAAACGGCATTCTGTACCATGTGAACTTCACTGTTTATCCAACATGTAAATGATCTTTCTGAGGTATTTACCTCCTAAATCAAGGTTAACTTGTGTAGCACTATAATGTTTAAGGGCTGCAGGTGAGATTAGCAAAATTTAATCGCATCACCAAGCTCTCCGAAGGCATGTGATGATGGTGGAATGAGGCCTGGACAAAGGATGGGTGGAAGAGCGGGCCCGGGCCTCTGGCAGAGTGGTGGGGATACAGGAGCCAGAAGCAGGGTGCCTGGCCCAGTCCTGGCCCAGGCAGAGCCCTTACTCTCACCATGCTTGTTTCCCTGTTCAGAAAGTAGAGCGAGCAAGAGCACCTACACCTTACTGTTGGTGAGAGACGAGTTAATACACGTCATTGTTAGATCAATGACCAGCACACAGGATCACTTAATTAATATGTAGCTCAAGTTTAATCCTATTAAAATCTCAACATGTTTCCACTGATACCTGACACACTGACCATTGTTACTCATTAAGATTTATCTGGCCAGGCTGGGGAGCTACTGCTTACTTTGCATGTCTGAGGAGTTGGGTTTGATGCCCAGCACACACAAAACAAAAAGCAAAATAAAACAAACCACAGAGGGCTCTCTGAGCTCCCACGGAGCCTGCACTTCAGTCACTTGGAATGAGGATAGACTGATTTTAGAGCCAGATGCTCACCTGTTTTTCCTTTCCCGAACAGGAGCTTCAAATTTATCCAGCTGCAAATCATATAATGTTTCCCTTCTCCCTCCCAGGCTCTATCCCAACTAAATTCTTTTACTGTTTCATAGTAAGAGTTTTTCCAAGTGATTTGATTCAAACTAAGAAAAAAGTTTAATTTACAAATTTCAGCCAAGCCATTGTCTGACTTCCCATAACGCTTTTTAGTTCTAGGAAAAATTCTTTTCTATTTTGGAAGAAAAACAGACGTTAAGCTGATTCTTTTTTTTTTTTGGTTCCGGGGATCAAACGCAGGGCCTTACACATGCCAGGCACATACTCTACCACTGAGCTATACTTCCAGCCTCAAAACAGAAATTTGTACCAACAAAATATATGCATTTAAATAGGGTCTTTATGACGCTGGCACATTTCAGCTGGTTTTTGATTGTTTTTGAGACAGGGTCCTGGTATGCAGCCCAGGCTGGCCTCTAATTCTTGGCAAGCTTGCCTCAGTCTTCTGAGTGTTGGGATTACAGGTGTGTGCCAGCGTGCCTGGCATTGGCTATATTTCTGAGTGGTGAGCAAGGAGGGAGGGTGCAGTCAGAAAGGATAAAGAAGCCAACAGCTATTAAGTCTGCAATGGCTACATGGAGCAATACGTTAATTCCTAAGGATTAAAGAGATTGTAAATAGGCCTCGCGGGGTTTGAAACCAGAGTAAGAGCAGGTTCTCCTTTCTTCAGGGCAACTACTGGCTACTGCAGATCTGCAGTGACCGCTTTAGAAAGCGTGTGCTCTGTGACGCTGTGTAGCAACCTGGACAATGCCCCTAAAGAAACCTATATATCCCCGGTACCCACGACTGTTACTTATTAGGTAAAAAGGGCTGCAGACGTGACGAGGATTTTGAAGCTGGGCATTTCTCCTGGATTATACGGTGCGCCCTACACATATTAAAGTGACTTTATAAAACGGACAGGAGGGAAATACAACTACAGAAGAGAAGGTGGAGATCCGGAGAAGACGTTAAAGTGCTGTGGCCACACAAGCCACAGTGGCAGCCACCAGAAACTCCAAGAGGGGACAGGATCTCCCACAGAACTGTGGGAAGGAACCAGCCCCGGAGACACTCCAGATTCACTGTGAACCTGACCTCCAAACTGGTGAAACAATACGTCTGGGTTAAATCATGACATTTGTGAGGTTTTGTTACATTAAAAAATCATTAGCTCAGCAATAGGAAACCACACAATTTTTTTAACCTTACATATGCTAGGCAAGTGCTGTACCGCCGAGCTACACCCCCAGCTCTGCCATTTGTCTCTGTGTGAGCTTTTAAACAGGTTAAACTCTTACTTGAAAATTGAGGCTGCAGAGCCCTCACTTGCCCCGACATGCAGGCAGATTGTGACAAACCAAGTCCCTGAGGGCAATACAGATCTCTTGCCAACATATCACCTATAATGTTCCCCAGGAAAGGGAGATCTGAGGTCTTTCCAGCTATTCCAGGTTCTAGAAATAAACAAAAACCAGATATGGTGATGTACTTCTGTAACTCTAACACTCAGAAGATAAGGCAGGAGAATTACCTTGAGTTCAAGGCCAGGGGCTACATAGTGAGACTCTGTCTCAAAATAAAAAATAAGTAAGAATTAAAAAAAAAAGAATAGGGCTTGGGATTTAGCTCAGCGGCACATCGCCTGCCTGGCAAGTGCAAGGTCATGAGTTCGATTCCCTGTACCTGGGGAAAAAAAAAAAAAAAAAGACAAAAGTGTTAAAAAAATAAGAATAGACAAAAACAAAAAGACTTATGGGAATGGGAGTACACTACTGAGCAGTGGCCGAGTCTTTTGAGGGGGCCTATACACTTGGAAAAGTTGATGAAAACTACGGATCCTCCCAGAAAACACAGAGCACATGCGATTTTGCGTACACCACTGGGAATCCATGCCGTTCAGATTAAGATGTTTCTCTGCAGAGCAAAAGCATTCAGGGAAAAACAGGCAAAAATCAGCTCTTCAGGTGGACAAGCTAGTCTTGCGCACAATCTACCAGGAGGCTGGAGAAGCGTAATAGAATGGAGCAAAAGAAACCAACAGAGTGAAGAGACAACCCACACAACGGGAAGCAATTTCTGGCAGCTCTTCCTCTGACAAAGGACTAATACCTGGAATATAAAAAAACTCAAAAAAATCAGACGCTCCAAATTTAGAGAATCCATCCAAAAATGAGCATCTGAAACGAATAGACATTTCTCAGATGAAGTACAAACAGCAAATATATGAAAGAATGTTCAACATCACTGGTCATTTGAGAAATGAAAATTAAACCAACACTAAGAGTCCATCTCACCTCAGAAAGAATAGCTATTATCAAGAAATCAACCAACAACAAATGCTGGCGGGGCTGTGGGGAGAAAGGAAACTTCTTCACTGTTGACGGGAGTGCAGACTGGTGCAACCGCTGTGGAAATTAGTGTGGAGATTCCTCAAAAAACTAGTACTAGAGGTTCCATTTGACCCAGCTATTCTGAACCTTCTTGGTGTCTTCCTGAGAGTTAAAAGCATCGAACCACAGCAATATATGCAAACCCAACTTATAGCAGCACAATTTGTAATAGCTGAAGTTTGGAAATAGCCTTGATGCCCAATAAGGGATGAATGGACAAAGAAAATTGTTTTTTTAAAAACAAACATACAATGAAGTACTACTCTGCCATAAAGAAGGATAAACTTGGGACATTTTGAGGTAAATGTAGTTTGACACCATACTTGTAAGTGAAATAAATTGGACACACATGTTTAAATATCGATGTGTTTCTCCTGTATGAGAAACCAAAACCGTAACTAAGGATCAAAATAGATGCTAGATATTGGGAAGTAGGAAGAAAACGTACAAATGGTAAGGTGAACAAGGGAGAGGAAAGAAGGAAAAGGAAAAATAAAGAGACTAGAAGGGAAAGAACAGAAACGAAACTTTTTTTTTAAAAGATAGGTTCTCATTATGTAGTTCAGGCTGGCCTTGAATCCACTAAGTAGCAGGTTGGCCTTGAACTAGCGGTAATTCTCCTGCCTCAGCCTCCCAAGTGCTTGAATTATTGAAGGGCACCACCCACCATGCCTGGCGCTTGTACACTCTCTTTCTATTTAAAAGAAATACATACATATGTATGTATTTTTTTTTTGTTTTGTTTTGATTATCATTAAAGTTTAGGGCAGCCCAGCGTGGTGGAGTGGTGGTGCATGCTGTAATCCCAGCACTCAGGAGGAAGGAGGATCGCATAGGCCAGCCTGGGCTACACAGAGTTCAAGGTCAGCCTGAATTTACAATGTTAGACTATCTCAAAAACAAAACAACAAGTTTGGGGCAAAGAATGATCTACAACAGCCAGGAAACGGGGCATTTCACCTTTAGGTGATCGTTCTTACTCAAACCCAATTAAAATGGTCGATGTGAAAAGGCGTCATTAATTTTTTCCTGAGCCCAGCTGTTGAAGGAGTGAAGGAGTGATGATCCGTAAGCACCCCAGCAGCGACCAACCAAGGTGGCTTCGGGGCTTCAAACTCGGCGACCGTAACCCAGCGGTCGCCCCTCACCTGGTCGGGGTAGAGTTCGCGCGGCAGCAGCCCCTGCAGGTCCAGGAACAGGGTGATGGGGATGTGGGAGAGGAAGTAGAAGCCCAGCAGGTACTCCAGGCAGCGCCTGGCACGCACAGCCCCCATGCTGAGTCGGCGGGACGCAGATGCACCGACACGCAGCCCACCAGGACCCCGGACGTGCGAAAAAGCCAGAGCTAGCGCGCCAAGCTGGACTTCGGGCCGCTGCCCCACCCCTTGAGACCACGCAGGCCACTTCCATTGGCTGACGAAGCAGAGGGCGAGAGGACACCGCGGGACTCCTCTCAGAGCGCGTCCATTGGCTGCTCTGAGTACCGCGACCACATTCTGCCAACTTTCCATTGGCTGTCGGGAGCGCCGCGTGAGTGGGGCGTGCTGCACGTAATCCGGTTGCCTAGAGATGTGGGGCGGGCGTCTCGGCGCGGATTGGGTGGTGTACTGGGCTGCTCACCTGGTCCCTTTCACTCGTGGCACCTTTCACCTATTCTGTTGCATTTACCAGCGCTGGTATGTGCGGGTCTATAGGGCATATGGAGCTAGAGCTAGAACTCCTAGAGGAGACCTCTAGGAGGTGGAGGGAAGGGCTTGGGTGGGATGGTTGGCAGTAGGATGTGGGTGGCCCGTTAAGAACAAATTTAGCCCGGCGTGGTGGCTCAGACCTGTAATCCCAGCCCTAGGGAGGCTAAGGCAGGAGGATCATTGCGAGTTCGACGCCAGCCTGGGCTACAAAGTGAGCTCAAGGCCAGCCTGAACTGCATAGCGAGACCCTGTCTCCAAAGTAAAAAAAAAAAACAAAACAAACCAAGTTCAAGGGAAGGTATTTCAATTTTAGCCTCGACACTTAGCTGTCTCCGCAGCACCTGGGTGGAGGCCTAATAGGCAGCTGGGTGAACCTCCTGGACTTGATTTCGAAGACATTAGCGTTTGCTGGGAGTTGAAGTTTTGAAAGCAGAGGGTCTGGAAGGGATCTAAAGGAGCTCCAACCTCAGGGGTTAGGAGGGGAGTGACGTCACTGGAGGGAGGGTGGGAGTAGCTGTGCTGGGGCAACACTGGGTGGTGTCCACTGCTGGTTCTGTTGAGAGCAGTTGTGAAGGGGCAGGAGCCTGATAGCAGTAGAGTAAGAAGGGGAATGGAGCCGGGCGCGGTGGCACATGTCTGTCATTCCAACACCGGGGAGGCTGGGGCAGGAAGGTTGCTGTGAGTTCGAGACCAGCCTGGGCGACAGCCTGAACTACATAGGGAGACCCTGGGGTTGCGGGGAATGGAAGCAGCAAGTTTAGACATCTGGTCAGGGGGGGTGTCATTTGTTTTTCAGAAGAGAGACTGGAGGTTGTTTAGGTCTGTTTGAAGTTTCTGGTCGGGAGAGAGGCTGTCCATTGAGAAAGAAGGGAGCAGGAAGTATGTCTGAAGGCCTCTAGGAGGTGGAGGGAAGGGGTTTGGGCTGGGTGGGGACAGGATCGCTGGCAGTGGGAGGTGGGCGGCCCTTGATCTGGAAGCCCCATTTCCAAGGCTGCGCTCTTCTCCAGTGTGGACTCTGCTCAGGGAAAGGCAGCTGGACTCACTCCAGGTGGGGTTCCGGAAGGCAGAGATGACCGAGGAGCTGAGCACCAGAGTGGCAGAGCGGTGGAACAGGTGATCTGAGCTGGACGGGGAGGCCAGGGTGAGGCCAGAGGGGCTGGGGCCTGGAGGACGTGGAGAAGCGAACAGACTTGATGCCCTACCGAGGAAGCTCGGGGTAGAGTGCGATCACTGGGTCAGGAGCCTGCGAGATTAGGACGCGGGTACCGTGTCTGCGTTCCCGGTGTTAGCACAGGTTCTGAGGAGGGCATGGCTGAGATGCAGTGGAGGGGAAGGTCTTTGAGATGAGGTCAAGAGACAGAGCCCGCGGCCCCCAAGGGTGGTGGTGGCAGCTGGGTAAGAAGCCTGCACGTGAGGGGAGTGATCCGGAGGCAGGTGTGTGGGGGCTGCGGTGAGCCTCGGCCTGGGGCAGGGGCGGAGAAAGCGTGGACACGGCCTTGCTGAGCAGGGAGACTGCTGGCCTGGCTCCAGAGAGGGCTGTGGGGAAGCTGAGTACCCGGCACAGCCAGGTGCCGTTTTCTGCAGAGGCAGCAGCTGGTATCACAGCGGGGGGAGGGAGGGCTGTTTATCAGGGGAGGAGACACAGTGGCAGACAGACCAGAGGGTCCCTCAAGGTTGGGGAGCAAGAGGTGAACAGCATGGGTGGCTGAGCACAGAACACAGTTCTGACTGGGACCCGACCTGGCAGCCAGTGTGCAGCGGTGTTCAGTGCGGCTCTGCCGGCTCCTCCGGGGCATCGTGCCCAGGGGAAGAAGTGCTTTCTCTCTACAGAGGCTGAGGCAGGGGCGACCCGGAACCAGCTGCTGCTTTTCTGGGGGCGGGGGAGCCAGTGCCCCAGAAACCATAAGTCGCCTGGGGAAGGAACGATGTTCCTGATGTAAGGTTTTCAAGGCAAGTCACTCTTCCTGCCTGCCACCCTGGCCTCCTTCCCCCTCCTTCTCCAAACTTGCAAGAAAATATGAAGAGCTGGGAGGCCCCTTCCAGATCATGCAGGGTCCAGCACCTCATGAGAGGCTGAGGCTCAGCGAGACACTTGTCCCAGATCACAAAGTGAGTAGTGAGGCAGAGAAGTCCAGTGTGCTCACCCCCATCTCCAGGCTTACAAAGGTGTGAGTGGTTTAGTTCAGGTCTTCTATCCTTGGGGCTGGGCGGCAACCTCCCTGACAAGGTCTGCAAGCCCCCCCCCCGCCCCCCCCAGGTCAGGCTCCGGACCCAGGAGAGGACTGACCAGCCCAGAACTCTGCCCGGCTGTCCTCAAGGGCCTGGCAACAGCCCTCCCCACCCCCGAGAATGCACCGGTTTTAAGGACATGGTGGCACCTTTTAGTATAGGTGGAGTACAGTTCCCAGACCTGTGAGGCCTTGCTGATTATAGCTGCCTGCTGGGGGAGGGAGCTGGGTAGGTGCACAGCTGTCAGGGCGCTGCAGCTAAAGCCCAGCCAAGTCTGTAATCTGTAGATAAAAGTTCTCAAGGCCTCGCACATGGATGGCACACCCACCCAAAAAAAATCTCCAGCTGCTTTCTTCAGTTTGAAGTTCCTTTCATGGGAGAACTGAGGTTTTCGTTGTCTGAGATAGGGTCTCCCTAAGTCGTCCAGGTGAACCCTAAACTTGTGATCCTTCCGTCTCAGCCTGTTGAGTGGTGGGAGTACAGGCATGGGCGCCACGGCTGGCCTGAGGGTTCTTAATTTGATGTCAGATGATCTTCGGGTGAGTGGAGAAGGCCACCACTGATCCATTGCCCGAAGCATGAGTTCAGTGAGAGTGCCTCGGCTGAGTGTGCTCCAGCATTCTAGGAGGGCTGGAAGTTTGAGCCCCGCCTGGGCAACTTAGTGATCTACCAAGACCCTGCCTCAAAAAAGAATAGGTGGTGGTGGGAATGTAGCCTCGTGCAAAGGGTTCAGTTTTTTGTTGTTGTTGTTTGTTTTTTTGGAGACAGGATCTCACTGTGTAGCTCAGTTGGCCTTCAGCTTGAATCAGTCTTCCTGCCTTGGCCTCCCGAGTGCTGGGATTACAAACATGTGTACCATGCCCTGCTCAAAGGGTTCAATCTCAGCAGTGAAGAAATAAAAACCAAAGAAAAACAAAACAAAAAAAACCCACCAAATTTCCCTCTCTTTATAAGTATTCACTTTTTTGCAAATTACTGTGTTGAGACACCATTATCCCAAACAGTGCCCTCATGGTGGTGCAAAGGGAACTCCACCCACAACTGCATAAAGCTCTTCTGTGCTTCTGCTGCACTTTCATCTCTTCTCACCCCACCCGTGCCACTCCCACATCCTTGTCTCGAGTAATGCCTGGATGAAGGCCACCCCACAACTGCCTCTCCTTGGTGACGTTTTCACATGGGAAACTCTGTGGCACTTTTTTTGTCTTTTTGAGACAGGGTCTCGCTATGCAGTTCAGGCTGGCCTTGAGCTCACTTTGTAGCCCAGGCTGGCCTTGAACTCCCAACGATCATCCTGCCTCAGCCTCCGTGGGGCTGGGACTACAGGCGTGCGCCACCATGCCTGACCAAAATTGGAATTACTGTTGATTGAACCAAGTGGGAAATCAGCTCCTTGGTCACAGCAGATCAGCTGGGAGGGCACGATGTACACAGGTCAAACTTGAAGAGGTTCTGTCACTGTGGCAAGTGGAAAGACCTGCAAGCTGCTGTGGCTCGAGCCCACAGCCGGCTCCACACCTCAAAACCAAACATTAGGTGGCTCTCCAAAGCTCAGGTTCTGTCAGTGTGGGAGGCTCAGCAAGGAGGCCGTGGGGACTCAGAAGTGTCTCTTGAGGTCTATGGAGTCATCGAGGTAGCTGACCACCTGGCTTGGGCTGTTCTGAGTGGTCACCCTTTCATGTCAAAGAATCCATGAACATAGGTGGAGGAGCAGAGGAGATGGCAATCAATTCATAAAGATAAGCCTTTAAAATTTGGGTATTTTGTCCATAGATCTTTGGTCACTGAATTAGATTCATAAAAACTGCATTAAAGGCCAGGCGTGGTGGTGCATGCCTGTAATCCCAGCACTTGGGAGGCTGAGGCAGGAGGATCGTTGGGAGTTTAAGGCCAGCCAGGGCTACAAAGTGAGCTCAAGGCCACCCTGAACTGCATAGTGAGACCTGTCTCAAAAAGACAAAAAAACTGCATGAAAATATTTGCCTTGTTTACTTTTTAGTGTCTACTTAAATTTTGTTTTTGATGTGAATGCCTACCTCAATTCACCTAGTCCCAGCCCCGCTTTTTAGGAAGGAGTGGGGGTACGGGTGACTTGGAAAGGAGGATCAGTTTATGGGGCGTGGAAAGAAGCCAACAGATCTGCTACCATGGTGAGAGGCAGGTAGGGGGAGTTCTGGACCAAGGTGGTTTGGGATGGCAGTAGTGTTTCTCAGAAGATTCACCCGCTCCAGTGTGCAAGGTAGCGTGGTGGAGGAAGGCTGGGCGACACTGGCATTTGTGTCCTAGGTCCTATGTTTGCAGGAGTTTGGCAGCTGAAGGGGAAAGAGCTAAGGTATCGGCTCAACTTTTTCCAACACACGTGTCTCAAATACTTTCAGTGGCAAAGTAAAGGAGCCCACTTAATGGAAAAGTTAGTATTTCTTATCTGTGGAAAACCTACTGTAGATTAAAAAGGCCAGCAAACTTTTTCTGTGAACGGACAG